TTTTTCTTTTTTATAAGATATTTATTGAAGTTTTCAAGATATTACAAAACACACAAAAAAAAGAAAATACAAAGTAAAAATATTTCAAAACAATTCCTTCCTTCCATTACTTAACCTTCATTTGCTTAGTTCCAGGACCTCCTCACACCTCCCTTTTTTGTATTCCAGTTCAATTATTTCATTCAGCAAATCCCTCCCCTCTTTATGTATCCTAATCATTAATCATAAAGTATTGTAATTTTGGATTTTTACATATTAATAATCCATTTTATCATATTCCTTGTAACCTTTCAGCTAAAGTTCACTTAGTTTCTATCCAACATCATTCTAGCATTCATTAATTTTACAATATTTCTGTAGATAGTCTTTAAACTTTTTCCAATCTTCCTACATCGACTCTTCTCCCTGGTCTCGGATTCTGCCAGTCATTTCCGCCAATTCCATATAGTCCATCACCTTCATCTGCCATTCTTCCAAGGTGGGTAGATCTTGTGTCTTCCAATACTTTGCAATGAGTATTCTTGCTGCTGTTGTGGCATACATAAAGAAAGTTCTGTCCCTCTTTGGCACCAATTGGCCGACTATGCCCAAGAGAAAGGCCTCTGGTTTCTTCAAGAAGGTATATTTAAATACCTTTTTCAATTCATTATATATCATCTCCCAGAAAGCCTTAATCTTTGGGCACGTCCACCAAAGGTGGAAGAAAGTACCTTCATTCTCTTTACATTTCCAACATTTATTATCGGGCGCATGGTAAATTTTTGCCAGCTTGACTGGTGTCATGTACGACCTGTATATCATTTTCATAATATTCTCTCTTAGGGCATTACATGCCGTAAATTTCATGCCTTTGGTCCACAACTGTTCCCAGTCAGCAAACATAATGTTATATCCTAGATCTTGTGCCCATTTAATCATAGCAGATTTCACGGTTTCATCCTGAGTATTCCATTTCAACAACAAGTTATACATTTTTGACAAAATCTTAGTATTGGGTTCTAACAATTCTGTTTCCAATTTTGATTTTTCCACCTGGAAGCCAATTTTCTTATCCAAATTATATGCCTCCATTATCTGATAATAGTGAAGCCAGTCTCGCATTTTATCTTTTAATTTTTCAAAACTCTGCAATTTCAATTTGTCTCCTTCTTGTTCCAAAATTTCCCAATATTTCGGCCATTTGGCCTCCATATTGAGCCTTTTCTGAGCCTTTGCTTCCATCGGTGACAGCCACCTAGGGGTTTTATTTTCCAATAAGTCCTTATATCTTATCCAGACATTTAACAATGCTTTCCTGACAAACACACACACAAAAAAGGAGTTGAGATTTTCATGCCACTGTGGAATAAATAAACACATGAAGGAATAACAGGGGTGCAATGAATCTCTCAGATCAGGCAGTTCATGCATGAATGTCACACCTCCCAAAAATATGGAGAAAACAATGAAAAGAGGCATTTCTTTTAAGTAAGCCATGTGACACAACTTAAGAGGAGAGGCTCTGGAATTCTTTGCAGAAAATCCACTCAAGGCTAAACCCTGTAATTGCAAAATCCCCACTCTGTGATTATGCAAATTTAACATTTGTATAAATTCACCTAGTTGACCTGCTTCTAGGGTAAGGGTCTGAAAATTGTTTCAGTCCAGTCCCTTGACCTCAGAATCCTCTCTGCTTCCATTCAAGACCTACCAACATTTCTTCATATTCCCCCTGCCGTCAGAATCCTTGGAGGACAGAACCATACTTTAAACAAAATCCTAGATTGCAAGCTCCCTCTTACATCAGCTAGATTCTGCATTAAATCCCATACTGTGTTATATTGCTTCCGTGGAAGTGAATTAGCAGAGTCTTCTCATAAGAGGTACTGGTAAACAATATTTTCAATGCAACTGCTTGTCAGTAGGAATCAAAGCAGCAAAGACCCCAAAGCCTATAGGTGTGTATTTTTAGCCTATTCTGAAAAATAACTTCCTTTGGAAATGAGGCAAAGCGGAGACTGTGGTGTCTTTATGATATATGGTTTATTTACACATATATACAACTTGAGCCTACAATGGAGACATTCCCAGTATTGCACTCCAAGAGGGTCTCTTGCTTCTCCCATGGGTTCAGCAGCCTTGGATCTAAAACAGAAATCAGTCATGCTCTCCGTCTCCTTTTTACAGCTTGTCACAGTTTTTTGCCAGCACATCACTGCCAACCACCATCCTAAATACTCTGGCCCAAATACTCTGGCCCCTTCTCTCATGCTGACTACCTCTATACAGGACTACCCCATCTCCCTGCCTCTTTGCTTGCATAACAACTCAGCCATTCTCAGAATTTGTTTTCCTAACGACCCATACTCTGTGATCACCAGGGTAGCCTTGCTTGTATTTTTAGCATAAGCCCTGAATCCAGTGGTTCAGTGCTTGACACAGTTTAACTCCCCAAACCTTGGTTAATTCTAACTTTTATTGGACCCAGGAATTTAGGGTGTCTCAGACCCCACAAACTCATAATTTGTTTTAGGGCTTATCCACACCTCTGCTTGTCCTGTTGCTTAGTGCAGGGAAACCTATAGTTCAATGCCAAATTGGAACAAACAGCAATCGGGTTTTCTGCAGATTGCTGTTTGTTCCAATTTAGCACTAAAGAGTAGGTTTTTCAGAGGAAAGTGCAAAGGCAAAACTGCTCAGATCCATACCTAGAAAATTGCTCAGACCTGTGTCTTTGGCTATTACCAATGACTGCACTGCACGATACGCACCAGATCACATTAATGACTCAGTCACTTAACCTTAACATTTTGTAAGCTTATAATGCATTTAGGATATATAGAATTTCATTTAGAATATTCATAAATTCCAATATCAGCCACTTGACTCTGCAAAACTGTCATTAGGGCCCCCTTTGGTAGTAGTTTCCTGCCTCTCCTATTCTGTGCTATATTTGGTCCCTTCCCCTGCAATAATCTGTCCCTACACAAGACTTTAGATGCCCCTGTGAGGGGTCAGCATGGGTGATTTCCAGCTGCCATAACATTTCCTTTTAATGTATTTTTAAAACGAGAGGCAGGACTTCATAAAATTGCTCGACACAACTGTCTTCTTAAAAGGATGTAAAATTAGAGCGTAAAACACATGTCAGTGAAGCAGCATTTATACTTGGAGTCCAGCAGGTGGCATCATTAAAAGAAAAGCAACAGAATAACCAGGCATCTGATCATACTTTCCTGTAACGGAAACAAACTTTTTCCATGGTGCTGTGGCTTTCCCAGACAAGTGAGATGGTTTCTTGGCACAGGGCAAGTGGAAGTGTGGACAATCCCTTAAACCAGGAGAGCTAGGCATATATAAACTCATAACTTTTTTCAGACATCATGGTCACTAGGTGGCCTGGGGCCAGGCACTATTGCTTAGCCTATTCTACTTAGCAAGGCTTTTGTGAGGACGAAATGGAAAACACGTACACCACCTAAGATAAATGGTAAGTTCCTACTATGGACTAAAGCTCAAAATGTACATAGAATGCTTTTTCACCCTCAGTAGCATATTAAAGAAAGGATCAGGGAGGCCTTCTCTTGACAGGAGCAGATCCAGGACAATCCATCCATCTTATTGCTTGCAGTCACCTTTCTTATTGGATGTTAAGCAGCTACTAACCGGTTTTAGGCATAATTTCTCTATGGATCTTGGTTTCCCTTTTGTCATGGCATTTGGTACCAAGGTCTTTCTACATTTGGCATCCTGTTCAAAAAAACCAACAATCGTTTCACAAGTCAGATTGAACTTTGTGAATTTCAGACGCTCAGATTTTGCACTTGAAATTTAGCTTTGAGGGATCCGTTCTTAACCTGAAACTGTTCTTAACCTGAGATACCACTTTAGCTAATGGGGCCTCCCATTGCCTCTACGCTGCCACCGTGCCATTTCTGTTCTCATCCTGAAGCAAAATTCTTAACTCGAGGTATTATTTCTGGGTTAGCAGAGTCTGTAACCTGAAGAATCTGTAACCCGAGGTACCATTGTACTTAACAGAGCAGGAGGTGCTGAGCCTGTATCTATGGCCCTGCAGCAGTGGGTCCTTCTGAAACTCCATATTTGAAAGCTAAGATAATATCACTTCATTAAGAACATAACAAGAACATGCTAGATCAGGTCAATGGCCCATCTAGTCCCACATCCTATTCTCACAGGGGCTGAAACAGAGAGAAACCAGCAGGCGGGATTCGAGCACAAGTGGCTCCCACCAACTGATATTCAAAAGCGTTGTTGCCTCCAACTGTGGAGGCAAAGCATAGGCATTATGTTTAGTAACCATGAATGACACTCTCTCCCCCAAGGATTTGCCTAACCCTCTTTTAAAGCATCCAAGTTGGTGGCTATCACTGTCGCCTGTGGGAGGCAGTTTCCTGGTTTAACTATACACTTAATTCTTTTCCACCAAAGTAACTTTAATTAGAAGAATTCTGACTTCATAATTTACTTCTGTAGTATTTTCTCCTTCACTCAGCTTATTAATTGGCATCAAGGAGGCTTTTCTACTTTTTTGACTGACTATTCTTTCTCAGTGGTGCCTCAGATCTGATGCCAGTAAATTTTTTTGCTCTAGTTTCACCATGTAATCTTATTATGGCTTAAGAGTCATTTTCAGGTCAGAAGAATCAGAACATTAAACAAGTTAAGTCCATACAAGTATTCATAAATACTGGACTTAAAAGAAGCCTCAGTTGTGAGCATTCGGATAACTCTGTAAGACAGTGCAATGAGGAGCAAATAAAAACTAAGGGGGTCTGTATCAGTGATCTACTTGTTCAAATGATCTGACAACTTGACAACCTTTTTCTAAAAACAGGCCACAAAATATGCTTTAAAACAAAATGTAACTGAATTCTCAATGTACTGCATTTCTAGTCAGTAAAGTTTCATAGCCTTCATGCTATGCATTCCTTTTCTAATTTAATAGCCCACATTCTCTTCTTTGTGCTTTTATGAAGCAAGAATTGTCAAGTATGCAGTGGCTCTATCTATGATTTTTGTCACAGATTTAGGCTACATATTAATGGCATTTGCCTAGCTTTCTTAAGCTGTGACCAGAAGTAGCTTTGCAAGAGATAAAGAGTTGATTCCCC